GATCAGACACCGAGCTTCCCAAAATGACTGCATACTTTCTCCATCCCGACACACTCATCTTTTTGACTTTGGGGCTCGCCGTTCCTGGACTGTGTGGCCCCCAAACTCCCACCGGGAGTCAATAAACAACCCCCCTAACCTTGGAGGCACGCGAACCACCACCACGATGAGGCCCCTTTCAACCTAAGCCTCGTCCAACGAGTCCATTTCCGCTTCTGTTTATCGTCCTACATCATCGTCGTTTCCTGCGTCACTTAACCTCACATCAAGCACAGCCCACGTCTTTGCTGATGCTACAGGCAAAGACAAGGCCGACACTCAACACGGACATAACGTTCCCCGTCCCATTCCGCCTATCCAATCGGTCACTTCGCGGCCGACACCCCCACCATCCCTGGTTCAGGCATCCCCTTGCGACAGGCTTGCCTTGTCGTACCCTGTCGCCCACGTTCAGCCCCTCGCTCGCCCCATCGGGTGTGCCATTACGAACGTCCTGCAGAACGGATCCTGCGGGACGTAGGTGGCATGCGCCTCTGCGGCCCAGACGGTCTTGCAGCCCATTCCCTTTAAACTCTCCCACACCCCTTCGTCCCGCGCACCTACATCCGAGACGCTTGAACTTAGTCCCCTGATCTTCAACGCCCAGAGATCTTGCCGCAATCACTTGTATCTCGAGTCCCAGTCTCTAATAACCCGGAGAACCCCATCGAGTCGACCGACACCGCCTGTGACGACGCCACCCTTGGACTGACGCTGGAGGGGAGGATCACCGGAGGAGGACGACGCATCTTGGTATACGAACAACTTCCGATTTCATCATGGCTGCCGGGCGAACCATCGAGTTATAGATCGGGCCACAACGCCGTCGTAAATAATCGCCCTCACCGCTCGAGCATTCAACCGCTAGACTTTTGAAGATGGACGACATGTTACCGCCGCCGATGACCCCCTCCGAGCGAGGGGGTTACCGGCGGACCAACGGAGGCAACAATGCTTTTCACAACTTTTACAACGACTATTCGCACATATCAGACCCCGCCCTACGGAGGCGGCTGGCTTTGAGCGAGATTGACAAAGTTCCTTTTGGCTTATACCGTTAGTTGATGGATTGCCCATTCGCCGACGCGTGTTCACTAATACGATGGAACAGATGTGAGAGCGATTTTGGTAGCAGGTGTTGGATTCTTCCTCGATTCGTACGATATTTTTGCAATCAACCTTATCATCACCCTCCTAGGGGTTGTTTTCTGGCAAGGGCCGCCGGATCAAATTCAGCATGGCTACGGCGGTAACCACGGAGAGCTACCGGGCTCCGTCAACTCCGCTCTTAAGGCTTCGACTAGTGCTGGGATAATCATCGGTCAGCTTGTATTTGGCTGGCTTGCGGATGTCTTCGGCAGGAGGAGGATGTATGGAGTGGAACTTGGCATCATTATCTTGGCGACGCTGAGCGCTGCACTTGTCTCGCCAAGTCAGTCGGTTGGGTTTACAGGGCTAATGATCTTTTGGAGAATTATCATGGTAGGGTCATGATGGGTTTCCTCTACGCCCGCATAACTAACAACGAGCAGGGCATTGGAATTGGCGGCGACTATCCGCTCAGCTCGGTCATCACCTCAGAGTACGTTATCTCTCCTGTTATCACCTTTACCGGGGAATGCTCGAGCTTACACTCACGACAGATTTGCGCCAACCCGCTGGAGAGGAGCCATGATTGCTGCAGTTTTCAGCATGCAAGGCTTGGGCCAACTTGGTGCCTCAGTCGTCGCCCTCATTACGGCGGAAGCATTCAAAGAATCTTATCTCGACGTCACCACGATTGCCAGCTGTCATGAACGTTGTCAACTTGCTGCCGACCGTTCATGGCGAATCATCGTCGGAGTCGGCGCTCTACCAGCTTGTCTTGCCTTGTACTACCGCGTCACCATTCCCGAGACGCCCCGTTATACCTTTGATGTGGAGCAGGATGTTGAGAAGGCTGACGCCGACATCAAGGCGTATATGGCCAGCAAGTCAAAAGGCGAGGTCGATCCAGAGCTACAATTCAGGATGAAGAAACAGGCTGGACCCGCATACAACACCCCGAGTGCCTCATGGCGCGATACGTTTGCGTTCTTCGCTCAGTGGAAGAACTTCAAGACCTTGACGGGCACTGCCTTGTCCTGGTTCTTCCTCGTATGTCACCCTGCTCCTGGACTACATTTTGATACGCTGATATGTGAGGCAGGATCTGGCATTCTATGGCCTAGGATTGAACAATACCTCTGTGCTTCAAGCTATTGGCTATGGCGATGGGGCCAATTTCTACGAGAAGCTACATAATCAAGCAGTAGGCATGATTATTTTGTCGTCTGCTGGAGCTATCCCTGGTATGAGTCTTCTTGCAAATATGACTCGCAACTCTTTCCGCTGACATTGTCTTCTTAGGGTACTGGGCTAGTGTATTCGCCATCGACACGATGGGTCGCAAGCCCCTGCAGATGTTGGGTTTCTTCGTCCTGACCGTCTTATTTTGCATCTTGGGCTTCATGCTTCATCAGCTTCCGCACCCAATCTTCCTCACGCTTTACATTATTGGACAATTCTTCTTCAACTTCGGTAAGTGCTTGGAACGTGCCGTCTTCGCTGACCAAACTAACATGGACAGGCCCGAACACGACGACCTTCATCGTTCCGGGAGAGTGCTTCCCAACACGCTATCGATCTACGGGCCACGGTATCTCGGCAGCGATGGGCAAAGTCGGCGCCATTCTTGCACAAATCATTAGTATCCCATTGTTGTCGAAGGATACGCCTGCCGACTGTCACGGCAATGCCTGCTCGCCATGGCTTGACCGTCTTCTCGAGCTGTTCGCTTTGTTCATGTTCTTGGGCATGCTCGCCACCCTCCTGATTCCCGAGACGAAAGGAATGACGCTCGAAGAATTGGCCGGCGAGACTCCGACCTCTTACGATCGCGGTCGCAACGGCAGTATATCACACTACCCGCGCTACAGCGGCAGATGGAACCCCTTCGCTGGCGGCCACCCTGCTGGTTTCCATTACCCCCGCATGAGCAACATTCGGGCCGTCCGCGTCGGCATCATGACGTCTCCGGACCTTCTAGCCGAAGAAGAACGCAGAAGGAGAAATCAAACCCGGTTTTGGCGGAAGAGGAGGAAGGACAGGGGTGCAAATAATAGCACCGGTAGCTCGGACGAGTACGCCATGACTTTCCGAAATAGCGGCGTATCTTCTTCCTACGGTCCCTCCACGGCCAACGCAGACGAAATACCACCTGAACAGGTCCCAACCTGGGGCGCTGGGTGGGGCAGAATCGATCGCGGCGCGCAGCCCATGGAGAACGTGAAGCTGCACGATGCCGGAAACCTCTTGCGCCGAGATTCGAGAGTATGATTTCTTTCTTTTAGGAAAGCGTCTGAAAGGTAAAGCGGGCGTTTGGGTAAGACTTTATTTTATGTATTATGACTGGGAAAAACGCAAGTGAATTGCTCTTATGATTATATGTATGTATTATATGTCCAGCTAGACAGCATATGAGTAATGTCATCATGAGGCTGCTCACGCAGCAACTTCAGCCAACGGTCCAAAAAAGACGTTGTCTGTCGCGGACGACCGTGATCATGATCAGTGGGAGGCTTGAACTCCCGGCCTTGGCATTACTCAACACATCTGGTGATGTATTAGTACCACGCTCTAACCAACTGAGCTAACCGACCAGCTGTTGTTGAAGAAGAATGCCCTAGCCCTTACTGTATGGGGCGGTGGGCGGAGGTGGATGTGGTGATGATTTTGAAGCGGGCTGGGGTCGGAGTGTGTGGGTCGCCGGACGGGGAGCGAACGACGGCTCGGGAGGGAACCTTGGCAGTGACAAGCAGTGTCTTGTGGCAGGTAAGTTAACAGACGACAATGCTGCCGGTTTCTCATTCTCATGTTCATTACCTCAGCTGGTTTGATCAGCTGCTTTATTGTGCAATGCCGGCAGATAAGCCACTTAGAAAGAAGTATGGTCTGAAAGTAGTGTCTGAGGGAAACATAGCAGGCATCAACGGCAAGGTTAGAGGTGAAATAGCAAACGTCTAACGTTTACAGTATTCTCCAAATTCGTATATCTGACATTGACATGGTATCTCAAGTCAGTTAGTGTAAAGAATAGCACGCATTCTGGGGACGCGGTGTCGGGAGCAATTTTCTCGATCAAAATTGTATAAGTTGAATTGGCAATTACTCCTGCGTAAGGTAGGCCTCATGACCAACAACTGATTAGAGTGACAAAGTCTAGAAGACCGCTCGTGCCTAAGACTAAGGCAAGAAACAATCCTAAATACACGAGGATTTAGGTAGGGTAAAAGGAAGATTAGCATCACGACTGATCGAAGCGCAGCCGTGAAAGCATCGATGTGATGCGCGCAAGTGTGGGTCGGGCGAACACGGATTCTCCACACATGCGCTACTTAGATTACAAACTTGCTCCGGCCTCCAACGCCTCCAATTAACAATTGGAGATCCCGAACCTGGCCGGCTGGCGCAATGGTAGCGCGTCAGACTTCTATCCACTTTCGAGTGGTGTAGCGATCTGAAGGCTGCGGGTTCGAGCCCCGCGTTGGTCATCTTTTTGCATCTTGGTTTAATGTTCCCACCGATTTTTTGCTTTCGTGGCCTGCTGGCTGGTGAGTTTTGCTAGTGCGATGCTCTGGGAAGAGAAAGAGGCTCCAGTTTGTATGGATGGCATGTGTACTTCGGAATATGATTTTGTAGATGGTATAATTGAAGCTCCAAGGGTCCTTTGTCCACGAATCAGCTACGTCATTCAGCGTCCCATAGTGGCCAAAGGTGAGAAGGAAGGGTCCGTCGCCGCTGGTCTTCGCTTGTTGCACACCTGAAGCTCACCGAAACCGAAGTGCCCCACTAAATTCCTGATGGTCGCATAACCGCAAACCGCCGCGTCGAGCTCCCAGCTTCCCTCTCCCAAGGCAAGCTCACGCAGCCCAGATTGCAAGATGGTACGTATGCCCGCGCCGCATCTCATGCTCAGAGCATGCAGAGGCGACTGCAATTCTGATGTTTCATTCGCTTTTGCCACCGCATGTTTGGCTAACGCTGGCCCGCTCTCGCAGTTACCCCTCGGTCTTTTGAACGCTGCCCAAGGGCACCCTATGCTCGTGGAGCTCAAGAACGGCGAAACGCTGAATGGTCACCTCGTCATGTGCGACACTTGGATGAACCTGACGTTGAAGGAGGTCGTGCAGACGAGTCCGGTACGCGACGGCTATCCCCCCGACCAGACGCTCTCGACTGACGTGGACACAGGAAGGCGACAAGTTCGTTAAGATACCCGAGGTTTACGTGAAGGGAAACAACGTATGAACAATGGCCTGCTACCCAGTTTAGAACCAGCAAGACGGAATGCTGACGCGCTGCAACAGATTAAATACCTCCGAGTCCCCGACGATATTATCGATCTGGTCAAGGAGAACCAGCAGAACAACCAGGGAGGTTTCCGCGGAGGCAGGGGCGGACAATCGAGAGGCGACCACGGCGGCCGCGGCGGAGACAGGGGACGCGGCAGAGGACAGAGAGGCGGCCGTGGAAGGGGCCGCGGCCCATCATCATGAGGCGGGAGGTTTCCATGACTGCGAGGAATGCGAGAATGAGCTACGGCGCAACGGGCCACGTAGAGGTCCAGAATCCAGAATAATACCAAAGCAGAGAAGCATCTGCCCATGGAACCCACCAAAGAGCGTCTCGCGACGGAGGGACAGGGCGTGCTGCTGTTGGGCTGACGGTTGGAGACTTTCCCAGGCATCACCAGCAGCTACCTGGGCCTGGAAACGCGTGCACGCCGAATGAATCATTTTAAGTACTCTACAAACAAACAAGAGATATCCATGAGATGAAGATCCTGTTGAAGTGCTTTGCCCGTGTTGAAATTGCTGCACTTCGAAAGCTCTCCAGGAACAGTCATTGAATGTCACGTGACCCCGCGTCGGCCAGGATGTGTCGGTGATGAAAGCTCCGAATTCTGCCAGGTACAGCTCCAAGAATTTCGGCAGAAACGCGAAACCCCAATATTGCGAACTCCCATGTCGGGATCCCGAATAGTTTTCGACGGCCTATGGCGCTGCCTTTGCCCTTCCGTCGACGCACACGCCGCAGCAAAATTACTGAGCTCTCCAGCCATCGCCCGCCCGTCGCCAGCAACTAGACCTCGATTCCCCTCCACCCTCACCACTCGACCCCGCGCAGTCCGAACACAATGTCGACGGTACGGGGGCGGCGCATACCACGAAGTCGCCACGCAGAAGGAGCTTGAAGATGCGAGAAGCCGACTTGTGCCCGTCAAAGACGAGCCGCCGGCGAGACAACGACCGCGGGACCCCTCTAAGCCAGATCCAATAGAAGCGCTGCGAGCTGCGCCGGAGGCTGCTGTGTACGAAGCACTGGAAGTCTTGCGCGGGCAGCCGAAGAGCTTCGAGAAGGTGGCGGTGATCATAACAAACTTGGTCACTGACCGCGACGCCGAGTTGAGCCCCGCGCTGTACGAGCACTTGGTCGTCGCCATGGCAGATGTTCAGGGTTCCGCAGCGATGCTGGCACAGCTGTTTGCGGAGATGAGAGAGCTGCACTTGGCGCCCTCGCCGGCCATTCATTACGCAGCGCTAGCGGTACGATACCAGAAGAGAAAGTGCCAGATCTCATAAGCTAACTAGTGGGAATACAGGCTCTCGCAGTCCACCCCGATTACATCGTCCGAAACGAGGTCCTCGCAGCCATGAAACAGTCCTGGACGGAAGTCAACCCGGAAGCAGACGGCCATGTCGCCCTCGGCCTCCTACGCGACGGGCAGTTCGAGCTCGCACTCGACAAGCTGGAGTGCATGATCGACAACCACGTCCCCGTGCAGCCGTGGGTCTACGACATCTTCATCTTCATGTTCGCGCAGCGTGGGTTTGTCGAGGAGGCCGTCCGGCTGGCGCACAGCAAGGCGCACACCACCGCCGCCGCCGAGAGCCCGCTGTCCATGTGGCACATGCTCCTGGACGTCTGCAGCCAGGCGTACCATTACGAGGGCACGCGATACGTCTGGGGCCGGCTGTACGAGGCGGACAGGTATGCCCTGCCCGAGGGCGTGCTGCTGAACATCATCAACACGGCGGCGCGGCACCACGACTTCGAACTGGTCACGAACGCGAACAAACTGATTGCTCAGCGGGGCGGGAAATTGCAGGCGCATCACTACGAGCCGCTTATCGATTGCTACGGCGGCGTCGGGGACTTGGAGGGCGCGCTGAGGGTGTTGTGTATCATGTTCAACGCCATCTCCGTCGCGCCGTACGCCAGCGCGCGCTCGATTTATGAATGGGTCAAGAAGGAGCCGGAGAGCCTGGATTCAGCCCTCGAGGCGCTGGCTGCGTTGAAGAAGGAGTACAAGATTCCTATAGCGGCGCTGAATGTGCTCGTCGAGGCTGCGGTGGAGACGCATGGGTATGCCAAGGCGCTGGAAATTTACAGGAATGCCCCCAATTACACGGAGGCTCCCCCGAACCACGTTACGGTCCGGTATCTCTTGCAAGCCTGCGAGGACGCGGACGCGCGGCGGATGCTGGTGGCCGAGGACCCGGAGCTGGCGCTCAAGGGCGACCGGCAGGTCTTTGCGGACGTCGTCTTCGAGCACGTCATGGCGGGCGACCTCGACATGGCGTACAAGTGCGTGGAGATGCTGGGCGACGCTCCCGACCCGGAGACTGGCGCCAAGCCCGAGGCGTGGATCAGCCAGCGGACGTTGCTGGTGCTTGTGAGGAAGTCGCTCGACGCGCAGGATGAGCGTGTCTGGTGGTTGGTGGAGCAGGCGGAGAAGAGGAACATGGACGTCCAGTCTGGCATTGCGAAGCTGATGGCGTCGTTTGCGGAGCATGTGAAGAGGACTACGGGGCTGGGAGAGGAGACGGGCGGCTTGGAGGACGATCCTGACGAGAGGCATCCTTGGACGTCGTGATGTGGTAGCTGTCAGCTACTGTTCATACAAAGAGGTATAGGTCGGATCGAACTTGCACTATCAAATGAACTCGATGAACCCTGAAGGTATGTTGAGGGTAGAAAACACAAAAGATCTCGACACCAAGTTTATGAAAGCCACTTGAAAGCTGCCCAGGACATTGTCTCCGGTGAGCAACGATAGTTGAAGACGATAATCTGGTTGATGTGACTCTCTAGGTGATGAACGTCTTTGCAATTGTTGTTGATGGGGCGCAAGTGACAATGATGCAGTTGCAATGACGGCGTTGAATGGTGGTATTGTGCAGTTGTGGTGTACTGAGAGCCATCAGGGGCTGTGGACGATGGGGATCTTATAAGGCTCACATCTTGAACACGCTTAAGATCCAACGGCGATTGGTTTTAGGCCAGTTTCAAGAGGACCCAGTGCGACATCGTTGAAGAAGACCACTAAACTCCTCAGACCATACACACAATGAACGTGCAATTGGAAGGCCGGACTTGTTCTTGACAAGTTTCAGATTGTAGCTTTGAGACTCTCATTGAGTTACAAGAAAAGCACAAAGATCCATCAAATTATCGCGGCCGAATTTCTCGAGGAAGTTGGCCTTGTTATAACCTAGCAGCATAACCTCAAGAGTTCTGTTACCTGGGCGGATAGTAGGCATCAACGATAAGAATGACGATAATCACGACGATAGAGACGACGTTGGGGATAGGGACCACAGGAACGATAACGACAACAGGAACGATAGGGACGACAGTGACGATAGTGACGACAAGAACGATAGGGACAATAGGAGGCACAGAATCATTGATTTAGAAAAAATTATTACAACTAACATAATAGTTATCCGCCCGGACAGCAAGACTCCACCTCAAAGAAGGCTATGCGACAGGAAGACTTGACGACAGGTCGCTAATCTGAAGCCCGGCAGATATAAAGAAGGTGAGGTATCCCGAAGATTGTGATGAATACCGATATGTTGAGCATATGTGACCGCTCAGAAGTCAGGCTGCCCAGGAAGTCAATGAAGTAGCAGGGGGGTAGAATAAAAGACATGAGCTCTGTCATTTCTGCATGAAGTAGACGAAACCTTGCGATACCCAAGCAGAAGGGCACATCTTAGAAGAGCATGATCTATCAGAAAAGCCTTTCGGATATTGGCTATGGTTACATGTTAGTAGGGTAAAACATAGTTTGGTCATATTTGGTAGCTGGAGAGACGATGAATCAAGCTTGATAGTTGTTACTGAAGATCCCTTCGCTGCAGATGATTCCAGAGCTGTAAATCGCGTCGGACTTAGCAAATACGGAGACTAGCACTATTCCCGCTCACCACCAGAACCTCAACCGGAAACCCGAGAGGGTGGTCCAGCGTGACTCATCTGCCGTCAATTAACCTTATCTAAACCGTTGTTGCCGGGATGCAGACATGAGACGTAGCTCAGGCACTAACGATATGAATTTGGGCTCTGCTGACAGACTCCTCTCAGCTGAATAATTCGACCATTGTGCTTGAGAGGGTCTGCCTTATTGGCAGCCACAGGGGCATCCAAGCTTCAGCACATGAGACGACGTGAACACCTGGAATCATCATCTCGAGCTAATTAAACAATCTCACGTCTCGTGAAGAAGTTTCCAAACGGCCAGGGGCTTTTTGTCCAGTGGTGCTTACGGTATGCTGCAAACGTCCCTGACGTGCCATCTGCCGACGTAAGCCACACACCAGCGCACCTCGACGGCTTTCTCTCAGGCTCTAAGCTTCAACATAGAAAAGGCACTCTAATTGCTTGGCGGCATACGGATTTATAAGAGTCGGAGGAAAACATTTTCCCATTCGAGAATGGTGTAACCTGTGAGTCGGCGCGGGATGACGACTGGGCTTAAGCTTTTGACCCCAACCGCACATTAGCTTTCTTCCTTACGGACAAGCCAATCACAGACAGCCTTCCAAACAGATTTACGAGGGATGCCGGATCTCGCTGATAAATGCACCAAAATCCGTGGGGCGGATTAGTGATTCTGTCATGTACCGCCCGTTATCCTAATCTTACACTGAGGCACCAATGTCTGCCCATCAGCATTATCACTCGCTACACCTTCAGGGAACGCCACCTCCCCACACGGGTCTAGCGTGCTAAACTCCAGCGCCCGCCCACAAGCCATCTCCCTCCCCACGACGTCACGTCAGCCCTACATGATGTTGTCTCTTGCTCCAGACGACTCGGAATGAATCACAAAGTCCAGACGCGAAACGGGGGTCCAATGGCCCGGTGGCACGGTTAGATCTTACCGCAGCAGATTTGAGACGTGGTAACCAGATTTGCCCATTGGGGAAACCGAGTGCCCCAGTCCCTACGCCGCTAGAGCACGACAGCAATCCAGACGGGCGGTACCATGCATGCGCTCCATCTCCCTTTCCGGTAGCTTCGAAAGCTTCGATCCGGTGTGATTCATAATTGATGTTCGCACGCGCTAGAAAGGGGACTTGATTTCTTCCGCGTCGCATTTAATGGAGCTCGTAAGCCCGGGCTGCCACGGACGGACGAAGGGTTGATACCTGCTCGGTCATCATTGACGTGCTAGGCGCGATGGTAGTCCCTTTGGTGTTGATGT